GATCTTGGAGTACGATGGCGCCACTGGATCTCTACTCTTACTTCTGTCTCGTTTCAACATTCCCCGCTATGTTCACATTATGCATAGCAAGGGGTCACAAGTTCATGTATTCTGCGATGCCTCCGAGCGAGCTTATGGCGCTGCGCTCTACGTTCGGAACCCAATGGACCACGATGCTACGGTACAACTAATGTGCAGCAAAAATCGACTCGCTCCTCTCAAAAGGGTCACCCTTCCACGCTTGGAGCTCCTTGCCGCTCTTTTAGGTGCCAGGCTCCTCCGCTACTTCAGCCGGGCAACAGACTACCCGATTACGGATGCTACCTTATGGAGCGATTCTCTGGTTACGTTGGGATGGATACGAGGAGACCCCAATAAATGGAAAACCTTCGTTTGTAACAGAGTGACCGAGATTCAAACTTCCACTGCCCCTAGCCAGTGGCGAATGTGGAATGGTCCTATTTGGCTTGCACAGCCTCCAAACTGCTGGCCTAATGATACTAACGTCCTAGACCCCACCCTACCGGAGGCCAAGAAAGCTGTGAACCAAGTTCTGACCGTCTCCTTGTTCGAGCCACTGCTTCAAATTTCTAGATTCAGTTCCCTTTGGAAGGTGTTACACATCACCGCCCTCGTTATTAGGTTTGTTCACATGTTAAAGAGGAACGAACGACCACCAGCAGGCCTGACGGCGTCGGAAATACACAAGGCGCGTATGTACTGGATCCGAGCAGTCCAATCGGAATGTTTTCCCGAGGAAGTAAGTCGTCTAAAGAGAGGCGAACTTGTGCAACGCACATCGAGGATTGCTTGTTTCAACCCTTACATGGAAGATGGATTGATTCGTTTAGGTGGAAGATTGCAGTTCTCCAGACTTATGCCAGATGAAAAACATCCCATTATACTCGACGGCTCTCACCACTTCACGAAACTATTGATCATGCAGACCCATGTTAACCTTCATCATCTCGGAGTACATATTGTTCTGACGGAGCTCAGACAACAGTTCTGGATACTGAGAGCCCGCCAAGCCATAAGGAAAGTGCTCCATGACTGCATGCCCTGCAAAATAGCTCACAACCGACACGCAGATGCGTTAGAAGCACCACTTCCTGCGGACAGGGTTCAACCCTCCAAACCCTTTTCAAATATAGGAATCGACTTCGCCGGACCCTTATACATTAAGTCCGGTGGAACCACTAAGAAAGCATACATTCTTCTAATCACTTGCTCTTCCACGAGGGCACTGCACCTTGAGCTTACGACGGACCTCTCCACGGACCGATTCCTGATGGCCCTACAACGGTTTGTTGGAAGAAGAGGGCTACCCCACACCATTTACTCAGATAATGCTCAGACCTTTCATGCAGCCAACAAGGAACTAAAGGAATTCGGTTCCGTGTTGTTAGATCCCCGCACGCACCAATATCTCGCTCACCACAATGTCACTTGGAAGTTTATCCCCCCAAGGGCGGCTTGGTGGGGAGGGTGGTGGGAGAGGATGGCGGGATCCGATAAACCCTGCCTACGGAAGACTTTAGGGAAGCTGCAGACCGACGAAGAGCAGACGAATACCCTACTTGTCAGTATTGAAGCCGCCCTCAATTCGAGACCGCTCACAAAGGCGGATGACCAGAACACCTTGACGCCAGCTCACTTCCTGACTGGAGAAAGACTGACCACGATACCCTCCGGACAAGCAGCAGCAGCAACTTCTAGTCTGAGCAAGCTGTATAGGCTGAGGCAAAAGATTGCAGACGACTTCTGGAGACGTTGGATAAAGGATTACCTCCTAGAACTAAGATCCTTCCATACACGCCGGAATCCACGTAAATCAGCTGAGCTCAAGATTGGAGATGTTGTACTCCTGCAGGAGGACCACATTCGACGCCACATGTGGAAGTTGGCTCGAGTGGAAGGACTTCGACCTGGCAGAGATGGCATGGCGCGGATCGTGCTCCTGAGGACGACCCATGGCTCGCAGACTGCCAGACCCATTCAGCTGGTTATCCCTCTGGAGATCGGGATAGACCAGGGTGGGGAGGATGTGGAGGACACTCGCATGCCATCTGGTGTGGAGGACACTCGCGCGCCATCTGGTGTGGAGGGCACTGGCACGCCGTCTGGAGGGATGCTACCAAACCGTTTGATCTCTTTGTACCCCAGTCTCAGTCTCAAATAAAGCGTAGTTGAAGCGTTAACTTTATTCATTCTGGCCCGTCACACAACTTAATTATTATAAAATAAACATGACATCACCAACCAGTGTGACTCAGTATATTTTATAAAGTGCCTTTACATGTTTTGGTCAGCTGCTACTGCCTTCTGAAGATGGTCGCAACCGAATGAAACATGTAAAGGCACTTCATAAATACAGGGTGGCGCAAAAAGGTGGGAACTTTTGAAAATAGAGAAAAAAATACAATTTTTTTTTTTTGAAATTTAATCAAGGTACTCAATGTGCACTTCTACATTGGAAATTTAAAAATAACTCACAGTTAGAAAATAATATCGCGAAAATGATGTCCATCTTGCCGAATACACTCTGCAAGTCGATCCTGAAAATTGCGCATGGCTCGGAGCAAAGTGTCGGGTTGTATTGCTGTGATCTCTTCTGTTATTCGTTTTCTAAGTTCGGCTAGGGTTGTGGGACGTGTATCATAGACCACGCTCTTCAAATAACCCCATAAATAAAAATCACACACTGATAGGTCTGGGGAACAGACGCCTGACCGCTGCCATTGACACTCGTGCGGTGTGTGCGGTCGCCCCGTCCTGTTGAAACCAAGTGTTTTCGATATCAATGTTCGGTACACTGTGAATTCTTGCAGCAAGAAACGTCTCAAGCATGGTTACATAACGCTCAGAAGTTACTGTCACCATGTTTCTTGCGATGTCTTCAAAAAAATATGGTCCTATCACCCTTCGAGCCGAAACTGCACACCATACAGTGACCTTGGGGCTGTGTAGAGGTCGTTGATGAAGAACAGCAGGATTTTCTTGTGCCCAGTACCGACAGTTCTGCTTGTTCACATACCCGTTTAAATGAAAATGAGCTTCGTCTGACATCCACAGATTTTCAATGAAATCAGGATTCTCGTCAGTTTTGTTCATTATTGCTTCACAAAACTGTCGGCGCAACAAATGGTCATTAGGTTTCAGTTCTTGCACCAGTTGCAGTTTATAGGGATGAAACTTGAGTTCATGGAGTATTCTCTGGACAGACCGACGACTTACAGTCACTGCCGCTGCGACTTTCCGTACTGAGCAATGTGGACTTCTCAAGATGGAGGCTTGCACGGCTTCGAAATTTTCTGGAGTCCAAGCACTTCCTGGACAACCAAAAGACTTTCTCTTTCCCACTGAACCAGTCTCTTCGAAATTTTGAACCCACGTTGGAATTCCATGTTTAGATGGAGCGTGGGCACGAGGGGCAAGGTTGAAATGCCGCCTAAACTCCCGTAAGGCCTCAACCAAACTGTCGCCATGTCGATAATAAGCCCGCACGGCTACTACGCGTTCTTCAACGTTCAACTGTTCCATGGCTACTAAACCTCCAGTGATACTCTACAACTTACCACCCTCCCCACATTTCTTCTCCCCTCACACTGCTGCCAACATCACATTCAAAAGTTCCCACCTTTTTGCGCCACCCTGTATATACTGAGAATATTCTTTGAATGTTCTTGGGGGTAAAGGGCGGCAGGCTCGTAGGGCTGACAACCTGACATCTATGAGCCGATTGTCTAGAAAATGTGGGAACCTCAACATCTCACAACCCTATGGGCCTCCACAGTCTGTTACAGGGATACCTTTACTTTTACTTACTATACTGAGTAACACTGGGTGGTGCTGTCATATTCATTTTATATAATATAAATTACTGAATCTACTACTGACAAACAAACAAAATAGAATGCACTGAAATGGTTATTAAATCGACTTGGGGAAGCAAAAAAAAAAAGACAGTAAACTGTACAGCTTGATGGGTTTTAATGAAACTCATATGTTGTTTTAACCATACCTAAGTATGTGTACAAAAAGATCTATTCACTTTAGTTCATTACAGACCGAAATACTTTCCACTTCAAACGCTGAAAACAGGCAGTTTTACTTTCAGATTACCCACCGTCTGAGTGTGCCAGATGAACTTGACACAGTCAGAGAATGGGCACCAAATTTTCCAGATTTTAATCTGCTAGACTGCCATGTCTGGAACAAACTCACAGTATTAATAAAAACATTTTGATTCCTCAAGTTACCACAACAAAGAAATAAACAAGATCAGATCAGCTATCAACCAACAGAAAGGACAGACTAAAGCCATACTCAGAGAAATCAGGGGTCCTATTCAACATGGAGTGTGATTAAAAAAATGTGGTTGAAGTACAAATAAAATACAAATTTTTAAACATTCAAAAAGGAAACAGTTTTCTGTGTAATGAATCAACCTAACTGAAAAAAATCTTTTTGTAAAAATACTTAGGTATTTCTTATACAACATTTGAGTTTCTTTCAAATCTAGAGTTCACTTTTACCAACTATTTTTTTAAAATCATACTTTGCCCCCTCCAATACATATACATACTGAAACACAGTATCAAGTTCAAATACTAATTTAAGAATCACACAATTCTCCTTACCTTCAAAGCTTCTTGAAATTCACACTCACTTTCAATTGGAAGCTGAAAAAATGCATATTAAAGATTAAGTACACATTTCAATACCACTTCATAATATAAATACCTAAAAATTTAACAGCAGTTGTAAAATATGCACAAAGCAAACTATTAACATGTACAAAAGTAAAATTACCTCATCACCATCACTGTCTACGTACACTACATATATGTCCTCCAACGTTCCCATATTCTGACACTGTGAAAAGAGAGATAATCTTGTAGCACATTGCAAACGAGTACTCTCCAGTTTAAAGTCTAAGCACACAAGAAGATGATTCTTTACACTGCATGGTACATTTTCATAGACATTCTAGCATAAACTTATAGGCATCCACAAAGATGCACATACACACACAATCAACTGGTGGAGGCAATAGAATTTTCTTCAGAATCAGAAAGATTTCAACAAAGAAATTAAGAACATAAGACATTATCTGATACTTAATGAATACCCAAAAGAATTTTATGACTCCTTAATAAAGCCACTGAGAAACAATCATCCTTCTTCAGACACAACATACTGGGGAACCATCATTATCCCATATGTAAAGGGTATTTCTGAGAAGTTCAGACATATTGGAAACCATTTCAACCTCAGGATCACATTCAAAACTAAACATCAACTCTGTGGGACGGTGATGAAAACCAGACCAGTTGAAGATGCCCAGCAAATGAAGCAATGTGTGTACAACATCCTATCTGACTGCGGCAGATGCTACATAGGCGAAACAAGCGGACCTTTAGAAGTATGCACTATGGAGCACAAATATAACCTGACACAGAGTTTGCTTGAAAAACCAAAATTAGCCCAACATGCATATGAAGGCCATAAAATATGATGGAATGAAGCAAAAGTCTTGCAGATTGGGCCAAACGCCACATACAGGAAACACTAGGAATCTGCCCACATACCTGATAGGCCACCTGATCAGTCAACCCAACTTAGACATCTCTCCCTTCTGGACACCGGTTATCACAGCAGAGGTTAAAAAAAAATCTGTTTTTGTATTTGTACCATACAGAGAATTTGTCTATCTGGTGATGGCTTCTATTCTGATACTTCTATGGTGCAAGGCCTCATATGTTTGGAGTTAATATTTTAATGTCTTAGCTCTCACAGATGGTTTGTGCTGTGCTGGTACAGGTGTCCAGAGATATGAACTACCTCTACTGAGTGGGCCCAACTGAGCAGGTTTTCCCAGAATAAAGTCTCCGAAATGTTGTATTTTTTAAATAAAAATAGGATGATAATGTCCAGAAAAATACTAGTTGTATTAATGTACCATCGTCACAAAATTTGGATCTTATTTATGGATATATAGTGTGACTGGAATTGTGACCAGAAATTTACAGGGAAATTTTCAGACTCTTTCCAGCATAACCACACTCCAAATATATGATTCATACAAAAATGTTGTATTCCTTGATAAGTCATAAAACTATATGAAACTTATCCACTCATAATTGTGACAACTTCAGACTCTGTATTGCACTATTGCAGCCCTATTCATTCAGCAGTGAAGACAAAGTTGAATGCATACTCATGTAAGCATAATTTCGTCCATGATATGTATGCAGTGTCCATCTTTTAGTGCGCTCAATTTCACTTGTTATTTCACAACATGTTTTGGCACTATAGTGCCATCATCAGGTGCTCCATTTACGTTAATCTATTTCATTGTTTGCCATTATGTCATTGTAAAATTTAAAAAGGATTTAAAATGTTCGTCAATTATCCTTTTTAAATTTTACAATGACATAATGGCAAACAATGAAATAGACTAACGTAAATGGAGCACCTGATGATGGCACTATAATGCCGAAACATGTTGTGAAATAACAAGTGAAATTGAGTGCACTAAAAGATGGACACTGCATACATATCATGGACGAAAATCAGTGCAACAGGACGCTAAAATACAACATTAAGCATAATTTCAGTAGCATTTAGGCGTACTAAGACAACCCTCAGTAAATGAGAGTAAATAACTGGTACCAATCAGTCAAGGATACACTGTCACTGACCATAGTTCAGAAGTGACAAAGGGTTATGTTTTCAAAGAAAATGCACTGTATTTTGCAACCTTCCACAAATACATTAGGACTACCAGTTGTGCAGCAATGATGAAAAATGTTGTAATAGTCACATGAGAAGATAAAACTTTTGTTTTTCATTATGAAGATATGCACCTCAACGGCCAGTAAGTCTCTTATTCTAATCACTCCCAAAACATTCAACATTGGGTTAAATAACCAATTCAATGTACTTGTTTCATATATTAATTCTGTGGCACTTCGTTCAAACTTCCTTACTTTCACTACTGGGTATAAGTTAAACATGTCTTCATTAATACATATTTAATTGCGTATATGAAGATATTATTATATACAATGAAGTACTGTACTTTGTTTCCTGCATATTCACGAAAAGCTATAACTCCGTAACCTTTTAAATGATAATGACGAATTGTATGGTCATAAGGTTCTGACGTCATCTAAATGGTCTTGTCCAGTGACTTTAACCAACAGGAAATAATGTACACAAAATTTTGTATGGCGTAGAAAGTGTCACTTTTATTCACTTACCACGTACGATTTAAATGTCACCCAATCTAAAGATGCATCAGGTGTATCCCATATTCCTATACTTGCCACATCCTCTCGACTGTTTCCACCAGGTTTCTTTTTCCACTGTAAATCAAAGAGAATGCCCAAAGGCTCAACATCGTTTGACATTTCCAGCAAATCCATTCTATACCAGCGATACCAGCTATACACAGTCCTCTCCAGTGTTAACCGAGCACAAAACACAAACACAATGTCGACAACTTCAAGTAGATTAGAGGAGTCAATTAGTCAGTTCGGTTCAGACAACAAAACGCACTGTTTCTCTAAGTACCTCTTTCGATGCTATATGAAGTACAGTTTAAGTATATTATAACATACAAATCACGATCTTTATATTTTAGACAAAATCTAATATTATGAACCGCAATATACGACTCATATCACTTCCTTTGTCTCTAACGCACCTAACCATAAACCAGAATGGTAACTCAATGCTATTGACGGGCAACATAGCGACCGTGACGTCATGAACTCATGAAAGTATCACTGCTACCGCAGTGTCCGGAGGCAATTCTACTGATACAAAATGGCTACCGCCAGTGCCGAAAGCTCGGTCGGTAATAGGGTATCGTATCATACCACCCGCCCTGTCTGTAAGAAAGTATGCTATCATACCACCAGCCTTTGTGTACTGCTCCCTCCCAAAGAACCACTATTCACATTAATAGCTACAAATAATTTGCAACCCTGGCCTCTTGTACTGCAGAGGTTCTTACTCCACTGAGTGTTTTTTGTTTTCAAACTGAGTTTAATACGACTTGACTCAGAACCTTCTGGAGGTGCATGAGCTAAGTGATATCAAACTCAGCTCGAAAACAGAAAACACACAACGGAGTAAGAACCTCTGCAGTACAAGAGATCAGGTTGCAACATTATTTATCAGGAGAAAGTTTCTCGCCAGTGCCTGTAAAGTATGAACATTTCATTTACATCAATTCAACACCCCCTTATTGAAATGCGATGGACATTTGAACTATAACATACATAGAAGACTTGTGGTTAGGAAAGATGATGGTGCATAAACTTGAAAGAAAAAATCCTTTTCCATCAGGGATACTTGTATTCAACTTCATAACTTTGCTTAAAACTTACACTTGAAAGCTACACAGAACATAGCTTTTCAGTTACATTAATGTGTTATAAATCATGTATAAGGAGCAGTAATACTGAGGTTTCCATTTGTTATTAATTTCAGTAGTATAATGAAACTCGAGAATCTGATACACACTCTTGTTAACAAGATTAAGATTGCATTTAATAATATATGAAAATCAATAAAATAATTCCAGAAATCTGACAAACCTCATGATCTGAAACATGCTCATGTTTCCATATTCAATACTAAACATATTGATTCATTCATTCATCAGTAATCTGTCAGACGACAGTTCCACAGCCTCTTCCAAAACAGTTTCTCCACTTAATGCGATCTTCTGTTTTTGGAAAGAGACTATCCAGGAAAAGTGATAATGTGGTAGTTTTTCCATTTGCTTTCCACATCGCAGTACAACAGCCGTTCAAACCACTCTGGTCACGCCTGCTGCTATACGAACTTGAACCATCTCGAGCATCATTTTCTCTGTGCTTCAAGTCGCCGCTGATGACGCTGCTTCCGGCATCAGTTTTCGGTGTCTCTCTTCGTCTGATGCCTACCCTTTGACCTGTCCAGCAAGGGAGGCCCTGCCAGTAGCTACGCTACCGCTGGTATAGCTCTCAGGGTCCTTGGCATACTCAAACACCCTCACCACGATAAGGTGGAGACACCAACGAGGGGTAAACATAATGATATGACCAAAATAATAAAATAACCGAATGAATATAATGAATTATAAAAATATGAAACTGTTCCATCCAGTGTGACTGGTGAACATTTTTCTTATTTCAATTCTTCATGCTCTTACATGTTTCGGTCCTTAGAGACCATCATCAGAGGGACATCAATACAGTTTGGAAGCCACTATTACAATAGGTGTTCTGAGTGTTAAAATATATATACATACAATGCTGACAATACACAGTTGGATAAAAAATCTAAAGTTTTCACAACTACAGCGGCTGTCTTGATATATTAAAATTTTTTAAACTTTTGTTAGTTAAGTTAGAATTTATAAACCAAAGAGGTTTGTGTCCTCTCTCTTATCAACTCTCCTGACAGGGACCTATGACATCAAAGAACCTTCTTCTCAATAAGGACAGGTGGCACAAGTTCGGTATATGTGATAAGGTCATTAAGTTCGTGGACTGTGGTTTTATTGCATCATATTACAAGGTATTCCCATATACAGATCCCCATCGGCCCTCAAAATAATTGCCGATGGTCGCTATGCAAGTCTGCCAACGTTGATATAGCTACCAAAAACACTGCTGAAACATACTGGCGGGAAATTCCTGTATGACATCTCGTGTGGCATTGACAACTTCCTCGGATGACTGAAATCTATGACCACGTAGCTTTGCTTTCAAGCGGTGAAAGAGAAAGAAATCACATGGTGCAAGATCAGGTGTGTAACCGTCCTCTGAAGGGCCCTTTACATTGGGCGTCACTTTTCCTCTCTTACCGTCCTTCGGGCCCTTAGTTGTTGGTTGCAGTTGCTCCTCTAGCCGTTCCCTCTCACCTGTTGGTACGCCGAGTTTGCAGGTGGCTGTTGCGTCATTCTTATCCAGTTCTCTTCCCTTTTTATTGTTGTGGACAATTGTTTGTGGGATATGGGTTACCGGAATGCTGGGCGCCAGTAAGCTTACTGTAAAGGCTTACATTTCGGGAAAAAGGGGGGATGAACTGGAAACTACAGATGATAGGTACCGCATTCTCGCTAGAGCGATGAGATTCTGTCTCAGGGTGAATACGGGCCTCGCGTCAGCGGGAAAGAGAAGAGTGTTTATAGCTAGGCACTACCACACACTGTTTAATTAGCAGATCTTGATATACACGTACATGTAACAGCACTTGTTGCACTCCCTTAAAACACCTTGGAAATCGCTCAACCGTTGGCAACCGGATCCCTGGCTAGGTATTTAGTGACTGCTTCTTTTAGCACAACACACAGAATTACACTTTCACTTAAACTTTTAACACAAAGTAAAATTCACATTAAATTTTGAAGAGTTATTCAGAGATTGTTCCTGCAAACACTTAAACATAAATTTGTTTTAACTTTGACTTTTTTTAAACCAAACTGTCAGCGACGCTAGTTTTTCGGCTGTACCCTTGGAGGGTTGTTCAGAGACTCCTCTCGCAGACTGACTCTGCTTCGAAGCAAGAAATCTTCATGGCTTCAGCTCTGCCTCCAAGTTACTACCCTAATTTTGGCTGATTGGAACAATTCGAATGTATTGCGTGAACCACAGACATACGATTCTGTCCAAAAAGTATCCAACCTTGGGCGGGGAAAATAAAGTTCTGTATCTGGGTAGTTACAATACATAATCCCCTTCAAAGTAGGCCCTTTGTGACTCCACACACTTAGCCCAGTGGTCCTTCCATCACTGGAAGCAATTCTGGAAGGCTTCTTTTGGAATGGCACACAGCTGCACCATTGCATTCTGTATAACGTCCTCGCAGAAATCAAAAGAGGAGCCTTCAATCTCGTGAACAGCCAGAAATCACAAGGAGACATGTCAGGAGAGCAGAGAGCCTGGCGAACCTGCAGAATGCTGCGCTTGGCCAGGAAACCCTGGATCAGGTGTGATGAATGAGCTGGGCATTGTCATGATGCAGCTACCAGTTGCGTGCGTCACACAGCTCCAGTCTCTTGCGCCAAACGGCATCACGAAGAAGGCAGAGAACTTCTTGGTAGTACTCCTTATTGACAGTTTGGCCTAGTGGTGCACAACACGCCGGTAATTGAAAAAAAAAGTCAGTATCACATTCACCTTATTCCAAACCTGTCGTGCTTTTTTGGGCCTCAGGGATGTCAGACGCTTCCATTGTGATGCCAGGACCTTGGTTTCCGGGTCATATCCATACACCCTTGACGCATCACCAGTGATCACAGTCTTCAGGAACTCAGGATCTCTGTTGGTGCACTCCACCATGTCCGGCACGACCTCAAGGTGGAGTTGTTGCTGCTCCGGTAAAAGCAGCTTGGGCACAAATTTTGCCACCACTCTTCGCATGCTCAAATCCTCAGTTAAAATTGTGTTCGTGGAACCTCTGATGATCCCAGCCCTATCAAACGATGGTCCTCCATGATCAGCGTCCGCACTTTGTCAATGACATCAGCATTTTGGCTCGCTGACGGTCTCCCAGAATGCTGGTCACTGTCTGCCGACATAGGCCATCTTTAAAGCAGTTGAACCACTCTTTAATTTGAGTGAACCCCATTGCAACATTGCCGAAAGTCCGCTGAATTTTGCAGATTGTTTCCGCTGGGGTATCCCCAACTTTATGATAAAACTTGATGCAGTATCGCTGCTCCAAGCGTTCTGTCATCTTGAGCAAAACGAGCATGTGAAGAACACATGTTACACCATGAAGAAAGTTGTCTTCTGGGTTTTGGCACCATATATTCTTCGTTTTGGCTGACATATCGGAGGAACGTCGGCCAAAACGAAGAATACACGACGCCAAAAACCAGAAGACGACTTTCTTCATAGTCATCGCCGTGAAAACCTCAAAACTTACACATCTTACACCACTTCACTATCTGGCCGCTGCAGACGCTACTGCAGTGTTGCAAAAAATCACGCATGCACATGAAAGTCCCTTCTACCACTACGCTCAGTTTCCACACATCTTTGGTCATTACTTATAGCGGAAAAAATAAAGTCGGATACTTTTTTGGACAGCTGTGTATACAATCACAAAAGGAGTCTTAAAAAAATCCCAATAGGCTGAATAGCCTAACGGTGCACCCCCGTTCCTTTTCCGTCCCGTAGCTGTTCTTGCAGTGTCTCCTGTTGTTTCGGCTACTCTTCTTGCAGCGACTATGTCCGTCACATCCGCTCCCCTCTTAAGGCAAAGCTCGTCTCGAGCGGTTTCCTTTCAGCTCGCCAGAAGATCCAGTCGTGTCCCATTCATCCATTACTTTTATTCTATGGCACATTCACTCTCGCTGGGGAGGCCGGCTCTTCTACATGACCGGTTCCTCCTCTGCTTGAAGTCTTCTTTTCCGTTTTGGAGGCGGTCGACACCTCCACAGTGTCCAGTCCTTGATCATTTCTTTCTTCGGAGGTTCCTTATGTCGACGTAACAGCTCTTGATGCGTGGTTTGCACTCGATGACGTCGTTCCTCCTGGTCTCCCAGCCGCTTGCTGGCACGAGGCCGTGGCGCCAAGTACTCTGTCCGGCATCCGAAGGTTCCCTGGGGAATTTCCTTCTTGAAGGCATTTCTCCGTCGTGCCACTGTTGCGCGACAGGATGTCTTCCTGCAGGGGGCAGCCAACTTCTTNCGGTTGCGTACCCTTCCTGTTCGTAGGGGCAGTTATTTGCGAAGTGGCCCAGTTTTCCACAACTCCAGCACCCTGATTGTCCTCCGTCTCCTTGATGGGTGGGGGATGATCGGTACTTTCGGTATGTCTTGGTGCTACCTTCGTGGGGTCTAGCTGCTATCAGTACCGCTTGCAGCTCTAGCGCTCGTCGGAGGGCCTCGTTTACCTTCTTCTCACCTCCTAGCAGCAACTGGATCTTTATATCGGCATCTCGTATTCCGTATATGAAGGCTGTTGCTGCCTCTCTTCCTATGTAGTCTGCAGGTAGATTGGGGTAGGCACGATGGGAAAGCAGTTCAATGGCCGTGGCAAAGTCTTGCAGGGATTCTCCAGGTTTCTGGGTCCTTGTTCTTAATTGGCAGCGGTAGGCAGCTGCAAAGTGTTGGTCACCAAAACGGTCCTCTAGTACCTGAAGCGTTTCCTCATAAGTTGTGTTTGTCGGAATGCCAGGTAGCACTTCTGCCGCCCAGCCCTTCAGAGCGGTGATGAGATATGTTAATTTTTCCCTGTCGGTCCATTGGTTGTGTTCTGCTACGGTCTCGAATTGTCGCCGGAACACGCTCCACGTCGAATTTCCGTTGAATGTTGGTGGCTGAGCTGTGCTGGCGACGATTTTTGATGTATTTCCCCGCTCGGCCTTCGTCTGTCTCGTCTCGTCCAACCGTGCCCGGAACTCGCGTTTGGCCTCCTCAATTGCTGCGCAGGTTTCATTGTAGTTTTTCGTTAAGTCTTCTTGGAGTTTTGTCGTTCGCGCGCAGAGGGACACTTCAATCTTCTCGGTTAGTTCCGACTTTAGAATCCGTTTGCCGTGTTCAAAGATGGCAAAACTGTTCTCAATTCTATGTTGGATTAACTCTTCCAACTCTGACCGCATACCGTGCATTTCCGCCCTCATTTCTTCCTTGTCGGCCTTCCTATCGGCCGCCGCCTTTTCTTGGTAGGCGTCTAATTTGGCCAGCATGATGTCTGCTTTATTTTGGTTGGCCCTCATCACTTTCAGCATATCTTCTTTGTCTTTCTTCCAATTTTCTTGCACGGCCTTCATTTCTTCCTGATGGGTTCGGAACATTTCTTGCATCTGCACGCGGTAGGTATCTGCTCTTACTTGGTTTGCCCGAATCTCCTTCAGCATTTCTTCCTTGTTGGCTTTTCTATTGGCCTCCGTCGTTTCGTGTTTCTCTCTGATTTCCTTCAGTAGAAGTTCCATCATTTGTTGCATCTCCATTTTGTAGCAGTAAAATGGTCGAAGCAGTCGTTCGTTTAATTATTCTTTGAGGCGTATTTAAGCTCGTAAAAATTCTGACACCAAATTGTCACGTGTCTTGAGTTCGAAGCTCGTCGATCACGTGTGTAAGTCCAAATCCCACTTCTGACACCAATGTAACGTGTTTTGCGTTACTGAAGACGCCGTAGAGATAGTTAGTTGGTTTATTTAACAATCTACAAATAACGGTTACAATTAATTATTACACAGTTGCGGGGTTTCACACTTTATAACCCTAATCGCATTAATCTGTTAACACTGTTGCGGGGTTTCACGATTTATAACCCTATGCGCAACTCAGTTCACTCTGCCTTCAGTAGTCTACACGTTGACAGTAGGGGAGCTAGGTATCACTGTATCACACGCTCCCAATTCCACAATCACACACATGTCCGGATCTTCTTCCCGCGACGGCTGCTATACTCCAACTAGTAGTCGGCTGACTGGAGAACTGTTGATAACACACTCGCTCGTTGACTACTTAACTCAGCGATGTCCGCACTATAACTGTGTCAGGCGGCTGCTACAGTAGAACTCGTTCGTAACGCACTGTGCAACTCACTTATATAGCTGCAGTGCTTACCTGTTTCGTAATGAGTGCCACGTCACAGTAGGAAGTTGATTACGGGTACGTGGCGTGGCGCGTGACGTCACCGTGGAGGGGGTGGAGGGGTGATGACTCGCCTAGTACGAGAGAGCTACATTACCGTGCGGAGGAGGGAGAGGGGAGCGCTGACTCACCCGCCGCGTCACTGCTGGTGAGGGGGGGGTTCTCCGTCGCGCAACACGTTACACTATGATAAGGATTAAAGAGAAATGTGCTGTGGCACAATCATGGTAGACATAAATGCATAAAATGTGAGACAGTTCAACTGAATAACAGACATAAATTACATTTAAACCCAGACTTACAGACCATCGGAGACACAGCAGGGTTGCTTCAGCAGGATGGGGTCAACACCAAATTCCAGTTCCAAACAATCAAGCCAGAAGTTCTATCGCCAAATATTAACCAACTTCGCACAGCTGCACCTTTTCAGGGAAGCTACTAGTTGCTCAGCTACTCAATCTATTACCAACATGTTATGGAATGCAAGGGTTCATTAGCATTACACCTATCCTGAGCCAGATGATTTCACTCCATATTCCTTTCTTTAAGCACAAAGAATACATATCATCAGCCTACCTTCACACTTTTCTGAGGACAACTGCAACATGCAAATCCATTTGTGCGCTGCCCACTACTTTATATGGTGAAGAGACACAAAATGGAACACACAATCCAGGACCATGCAGCAAGATCAGTTCTGGCGATGCAGCGAAAGCCAACGTGTGGTGACACATGAGGAAAAGCTCTGCTGATGCAAAGTTATTGAGGGATGAATGCATGGTACATCTTATGCAAAATGAGGTAAAGAGTTCCTTGGCAAGAAAAGTGTCAGTAATCAGAGATCACTTGCTCAGTGTGACAAAGAATTAGCTTCAGTTACGATGCAGTTCAATCAGGCAGTGAAGAAAACAGGTATGACTGCACTGAATTTAAGTACATTTAAAAGCTATTCCTCTTGCGTCATTCCTCTACAGGGAAACCTCTGAATTCCAATTAATAATATTAATCACATTTCCTAATTTTATTACAGAATATTTCACAATTTTCAGTTGACTCTTTCCCTCTAACAGAAAGGATACCTAAAGCAAAAAGGAGTGCCTCAGTGCCAAACCACTTTCTTTTCTGATCTCATAACAGACCACTCAGTTTCTCTGCTGATATTCACAATGAAAAGATATAAGAAAGTCTTTCTTGATCCTTTCAATTAAATTCTCTGTACTACTTCATTTCTCAACAAGCAGAATCAAACCACCTTTATTAAACTTTCTTTTTATAATCAATATACCAAGTATCCTGCAAACAGATATATCGTTTGCAATGTCCAATACGGCATAGTTTGTATTCATCTGACCAATCCATAATATCTATATCAATATACTCAATCCAACTGATATATCAATCTGAAACTAACTGATCAATGAATTCAATCACATGTAATGGCAGAAGAGCATAGATAACGTACAGCAAAAAGCATATAATGCTGTTGAATTGTGTGTATAAGCTGACGATCCTTTTCAGTGACTACACTCTATTATTCGTTAGCTTCCAGTGCTGAATTAACATCATAACTGTAGGAGAATGTCATGTCATGTCTGTTTCCACTCAACAAGACAGGGCATTGTGCACATTCAGCAGTCAGAATCAAATGGAACTCATTTGCACAGATGTTTTGTACCATGCGATTCAGTTCATTTCCTGTCAGTTCAAAAGGTTAGCAACAGCAATCAACTCCAATATATTGTAGCATTCTACAAAATTGAAGCATGCCACACAGCAAAACTGTCTTACTTACAACATGAAAAACTGTGGCATGCTACAAGTCACATAATGTTCCTTTAGTCTAAACCCATCTCTACTGCTCTATGATTTACGACACACATCAATATGTATGTGCAGATGTTTCTTCAGATGTCTCTGCATACTGAACGACTTATTACATACATAAGAATAAAATAGCTGCTCCCAACTATGTATGCACTGATGCTAATTCAGCTGGGCCAACAGACTGAATAACTTATTACATACATCACAGAAAAGTGGCTTTTTGCCACTATGTGTGTGTGCTGATGTGTCTTGAGATTACTCTGTGGACTAAATGACTTATTACATACATAACAACAAAACAGCTGCTCCCTACTATGTATGCACTGATGCTTCTTCAGCTGGGTCAACAGACTGAATGACTTTATTACATACCTCACAGCAAAATGGCTTTTCCCCACGATGTATGTGCTGATGTGTCTTCAGATGACTCTGCTGACTAAATGACTTATTACATGCATCACAACAAAATGGCTTTTCCCCACTATGTATGCACTGATGTTTGTACAGATTATGCTGCTGACTAAATGACTTATTACATACATCACAACAAAATGGCGTTTCCCCACAATGTATGCGCTGATGTGTCTTCAGAGTACTCTGCTGACTAAATGACTTATTACATACATCACAACAAACTGGTTTTTCCCCACTATGTATGCGCTGATGTTTCTTCAGAAGATTCCTGACTAAATGACTTATTACATATATTACAACAAAATGGCTTCTCTCCACTATGTATGCGCTGATATGTCTTCAGATTACTCTGATGACTGAATGACTTATTTCATACATCACAACAAAATGGCTTTTGCCCAATATGTATGCGCTGATGTTTCTTCAGATGACTCTGCCGACTGAATGACTTATTACATACATCACAACAAAATGGCTTTTCCCCACTATGTATGCGCAGATGTGTCTTCAAATTACCCTGATCACTGAACAACTTATTACATACATAACAACAAAATGGCTTTGTGCCACTATGTATGTGCTGATGTCTCTTCAGATCACTCTGCTGACCAAATGACTTATTACATACATCACAGCAAAATGGCTTTTCCCCACTATGTACGCGCAGATGTGACTTCAGATTACTCTTATCACTGAATGACTTATTACATACATCACAACAAAATGGCTTTTCACCACTATGTATGTGCTGATGTGTCTTCAGGTTACACTTTTGTCTAAATGACTTATTACATACATCACAGTAAAATGGCTTTTCCCCACTATGTATGCGCTGATGTATCTTCAGATTACTCTGAACACTGAATGACTTATTACATACATCACAACAAAATGTCTTTTCCCTACGATGTATGCGCTGATGTGTCTTCAGATTACTCTGCTGACTAAATGACTTATTACATACACCACAGTAAAATGGCTTTTCCCCAATATGTATGAGCTGATGTCTGTTCCAATGACTCTGATCATGGAATGACTTATTGCATACATCACAGCAACATGGCTTTTCGCCACTATGCATTTGCTGATGTATCTTCAGATTATGCTTCAGACTAAATGACTTATTACATACATTACAGGAAAATGGCTTTTCTCCACTATGTACGAAAATATGTTTCTTCAGATTACTCTTCAAAATGAACGACTTATTACATACATCACAACAACATTGCTTTTCCCCACTATGTATGAACATATGATTCTTCAGATCACCCATCAAAATGAACGACTTATTACATACATCACAACTAAATGGCTTCTCCCCACTATGTATGCTCTGATGTTTCTTCAAAGTACTCTGATCACAAAATGACTTATTACATTCATCACAACAAAATGGCTTTTCCCCACTATGTATGTGCAGATGTTTCTTCAGATCACTCTGATGACTAAATAACTTATTACATACATCACAACAAAATGGTTTTTCCCCATGATGTATGCACTGATGTTTCTTCAGATTACTCTGCCGACTAAATAACTTATTACATACATCACAGCAAAATGGCTTTTCCCCAATATGTATGCGCTGATGCCTCTTTAGACCACTCTTAGAGCGAAATGACTTATTACACACGATGCAACAAAGTGGCTTCTCCCCATTATGTATGCGCTGATGTTTCTTCAGATGACTCTGCTGACTGAATGTCTTATTACACACACCACAGCAAAATGACTGCTCCCCACTATGTATGTGTCGATGTGCTATCAGAATTTGCTCTTGACCGAGTGATTCACCACACTCATCACAGGAATATCGTCGCTCTTCACCACGTACAGGTTGAAGTTCATTCAAATTACCCTGGAAAATGAGAGTAAATAACATGAAAAATCCTAATAGGAAGAGAAATAAGTTTGAAGTCCAAATACATTGAGATGTTAAACTGGTAGGCATGAGAGTTGTGACAGAGATGGGATGGAGGGATAGAGAGAGTGCACACCCCTTGTGTGGTGTGTGCCTGAGTCCATCAGCATGTATGGAGGTTTCTGATTCAACACAAGTTAAGCTGAATTGCCACTGTTTAACAACTACAATAATAAATAAAATTATGCATTTGTAAGGCTGGACAGGCATCTAATTAATAGTGGATATGCTCCTAAAATGAAATAACAATAAAGGCTGACCTAAAAATGATATTAAGAAAGGCTGTATATGGCCCAGCAAAACCCCCCTACACATGACAATATATAATATACAGGATTATTAAAAAGAATGAAACGATTTCATGGCGCATTGCTTCAGTTCTCAAGCATCGTCATGGAATGAGTCAGTGACCATTTGAAAGAGGAGTTATCTAAGTTGTGAATGGCTACCACAGGGGCGCTGAAGTCGCGTTGTTCTTCCGGCTACATTCAGTTTTTCGTTTACCCTCGGGATGGCGAGTCCTCAGCGAAAGGCGTTCTGCGTTCTCGAGTTCGCGAAAAGAAATTTGGTTGTCATGGTGCAGCGTGCTTTTCGAAGGCGATTCAGCATTAATCTGCCCTGTCCTAAGAACATTTGATGGTGGTTTCAACAGTTTCAAGAGAGCGGGTGCCTGTGTAAAGGAAAAAGTCCAGGATGACCACGAGTCTCGGAGTAGCAAGTGGCGAGAATATGTGCTGCATTTGAGAGGAGCCTGCGGAAGTCAACAAATCGAGCTAGCCATGAGCTTGCGATTCCTCAATCCACTGTCTGGCGTGTGCTAACAATACTACTACATTTGAAACCATACAGACTGCAGCTCGTTCAGGCACTTACCAATGACGACAAAAGGAAGAGGATGGAATTTTGCGATTCGATGCTGGGGATGATGGAAGACAAAACCTTCATTTCACATTTAATTTTTAGTGATGAAGCGACTTTTCACTAGAGTAGCAAAGTCAATCTCCACAATGTGCGTATTTGGGGAACAGAGCACCCACATGAAACAGTTGAGGACAAAAGAGATTCCCCTAAGGTGAACATCTTCTGTGCTGTGTCTCAGAACAAGGTTTATGGTCACTTTTTCTTTGAAGGAAACACCGTTACAGGACAAACCTATCTCAATATGCTCCAAAACCGGCTCTTCACTTCACTGCAAGCAGATTCGCATGGCTACATTTTTGAACAAGATGGAGCACCGCCCCATTGGCACCTGATGGTCCAAGCTCCTTTAAATGAAAAAGTGCCCCAGCGATGGATTGATCAGAAGGGGGCCAAAGACCTTGCTCTTTGTGCTTGGCCTGCGCGAACCCCAGACCTCACCGTGCATGATTTCTTCTTGTGGGGATATGTAAAAGATCACGTTTATGTTCCACCGCTAACCACTAACCTCGATGACCTTAAACATTGAATAACAACAGCTATTAACTCAGTGCATCATGATATGCTGATACCCGCCTGGGAGGAATTCTCTTATCGCACTGATGTTGCCCATGTTGCAGATGGTGGCCACATTGAACACTTGTAATACAGGAAATAAAAGTTGATTGTGAGTAGAATAATTGTGACTTGGCAGGAGTTTTGAATTACTTTCCTTTAATAAAATATTGCGTAATAAAATCGGTTCATTCTTTTTGAATAACCCTGTATATACAGGATGTTTCACGACTTTAGGGCATAACTGCAGGAGGTGATTTCCTAGGTCTTTGTGATCAAAAAAGTTCATATAAACATGTGTCCGATTTTGGACGGTTACAGAGTAATGCCCGTTTTAAACTCAGAATAGAAGGTAACGATTACTGACAACAAACGGAACAAAATAATAAATCAGCATAATATATTGTGACATGTTGACCCCTACCTCCCCAGCTGCACGTAGCGGTAACGTAGCGCTCGCGTAATAGGCGAGTGACATCACAAGCGGAGTCGAAGTGAGCCGAGCGGAGCCGACGTTAGCCGAGTCCCCGCAACCTTGAAGCTATGCAAAGTGAGTCAACAGCGGTGACGTCACCGAGGCATATCGCGGTTGCTAGGCAGCAGTCAACAACTCCGGACAGCGTGGCTAGCAACACGGCACCAGACGACAATGGTCCGGACCGAGGCTACATAAGGAGCAGCGAAGGCTATTTACAGTCAGTCCTCGAGCTACTTCCGACTTAGTCCCGAGTTAGCCAGCAACTAGTCAGTTGTATTCTGGCATTTGGAGTGTACTATTTGTGATACTGCAGATAGCAGTAATCGTCAATCTGTAATTTGTGTGATTGTAAGTGCGAATGTGAAATAAAATTCGCCATATCAAATACGGCGTGAAGTTATTTGTCGCAATATACCCTCAATACGCGACAATATGATACATTTAAAGTATGAATGTAAAATTAACTTCGTGAAATTACCTTTAATTTGAATTTATTGGTGCTTAAAGCTGATTTTCGAAAATGCCACCGCCAGCCGGAACACAGGCTGCCGCTCAGTTGTGAACCACGCCGGACATACCAACCCACCCCGCCTTTCGTAGCTCTCAAGAGTCGAGATAACGAGAACGCTCTGTCTGTAGCTTGCTAAAGATAGCGACCCGCCAGATGATAGACGCGGTTCACACAAGGGTGTGTACGGGAATGAAAAAACGGTCATAACTCCATAACTGTTCAAAACCGGTCACATGTTTATATGAACTTTTTTCATCACAAAGACCTAGCACACCTCCTGCAGTTATGCCCTAAAGTCGTGAAACATCCTGTATATACAGAATGTCCCAGGAAGAATGTGCCAAACTTCGGGAGGGTGTTCCCCATGTTAAAGTATGCCGATATAACCCAAAACACCTATGTCCAAAGTTGAACGGTTACGGAGATAATGGCCTGAGAAAAGTGTGGTCTTCTGGCGGGTCCACGCACTATACCTGTCAGCTGAGACGTCTTATCTATGTTTGTCCTTGAGTGTGGTGATTCACACTAGCCGTAAGCTCATGTGCTACGTACAGAGTACGCTGTGGCGGCGTCGTGAATGGTTGGTAATTAGTTGTGCGGAGTTGCTGAAATGCCTTTTGTGTTTTACACGTGGAATATTGTGACATGCATTTTGTGCGTAGATTTTGCGGTGGCAATGCACATGCTGCTGTTGAAGAATACCAAAGGCGTTTTCCCGATTGAAGGATTCCATCTCGAAGTGTATTTACGCGAATTCACCAGACATTGCGTGATACTGGTTCTCTTCCGAGTGTTTCTGTGCACTCTGAAAGGGAAAATGTACGAATGATAAACACACGTGAGAACATCCTTGAGATGGTTCAGAGAAGTCTGCGTCTGTCCACTCGTAGAATGGCCTCTCGCATCAGCATATCACATATGCAGGTGTGGCGAACTTTACATTATGAAGAGTTATATCCTTACCATGATCAAAGGGTACAACATCTGGAACCAGGCGGCCAAGCACAGTGTATGGATTTGTGCCACTAGATAAAAGCTCATCCTGAACTGTTAAGCGTCATTTTATTCAGTGAGATGGTTCAGAGAAGTCCGCGTCCATCCACTTGTAGAATGGCCTCTCACATCGGCATATTACGTATGCAGGTGTGGCGAACTTTACATTATGAAGAGTTATATCCTTACCATGATCAAAGGGTACAACATCTGGAACCAGGCGGCCAAGCACAGCGTATGGATTTGTGCCACTAGATAAAAGCTCATCCTGAACTGTTAAGCGTCATTTTATTCAGTGAGATGGTTCAGAGAAGTCCGCGTCCATCCACTCGTAGAATGGCCTCTCGCATCGGCATATTACGTATGCAGGTGTGGCGAACTTTACATGATGAAGAGTTGTATCCTTACCATGATCAAAGGGTACAACATCTGGAACCAGGCGACCATGCGTCTTTTACCCGGGACGGTGTAAATAATTTACGAAATGTGCATACGTGGTCCCATAATAATCAACATGAGATAATGGAAACGAAATTCCAAAAGAGATTTTCCGTGAATGTACGTTTAATACAGTTATGTCGTCGGCTTATACCATAATGCCCAGTCAGCCATGTTATGTCAGCGCTTGCCAGTCATGTGTCATGTATAGTGCTTGGAAACCTAAGGACACTTATCACATGGCGAGCGAGTATTTTGTACTTCAATTTTATGGCTTCATGTCACTCACAAGTTAGTTTGATGTTACGTACATTATTAACATTACAGAAACCACATATTCCTGCCAGTTTTAATATGTATTTTGTAATCAACAAGTGTGTACCGCCGGTCAAAGTTTCACACTTCTCTGGCCATTATCTCCATAACCGTTCAACTTTGGACATAGGTGTTTTATGTTATATTGGCATACTTTAACATAAGGAACACCCTCCCAAAGTTTGGCACATTCTTCCTGGGACATCCTGTATATATAGGTGTGTGTGTGTGTGTGTGTCTAAAGGACTCAAAAAGATGCAACAGCATAGCATCAGTTCAATAGACATGCCCACCTTGATACCATGAGCAAATCCATATCAGTCATCTCCTAGGTTGCCACACAAGATCCCTCGACAGTGTAAACATTTGGTTTTTGCCAGAAAATGGCCACTACTTCTGGATGTACATAAAATCTATACAGAAGTATGCACTCTACAAAACAATATTCAATATTTAAAGCAAAGCAGACACCATCATATCAACATTTGGTTTTAAATTTTAAAAAGTTAGCTGGAAAAAGCTATCAAAGACATGAGGAATGGAAAGGCTACTGGAGATGATGATGTACCTGGAGATGTGCCTAAGTTACTGGGTGAAGGTGGTTTGAAAACACTGACCAAACTAATAATCACCATATATGAAACTGGGGAGTGACCCAAGGACTTTACAGAAGTGAAAATGATTGCCTTAGAGAAAAAGACAAAAGCTATAAAATGCAGCGACCATCGC